CGCGGGAATTCAAAAATAAGCCTCTCGGTCTTTTTTGATCAGAAAGTACATCAAATAGAAATGTTCCAGAATATAGATTTTTATAGCTTGAAGTCAAGTTGCAAATTCAAATAGAAATATTTCAACAGTTAAAATGTTGAATTTCATAGCTTGGAATCAAGATACTTCAAATAGATATATTTCAACAATTGAAATGATATTTTACTTTACGGTATGGAGTCAAGATAGAATTATAATATTATCGTCAAACTGACAAAAAGTCATATACCTATACTCGTAATTATGTCCAAAAAAGAAATATATTCTTCATTAAAATTAATTTTCAATAAAGAAGATTTCTGTTCTGAAATGTGCCAAAACCCGGGAATACTTTTTAATATCACAATATATATATTATATAACTTATATATAATATAACATATAATTTAAAATACGAACTATTAGAGATAATCCGCTACTCACACAATACAAACTAATGTTCATTAACTTTTGTCTTATTTAACTTAAGTTGTTGCTGTAGTTCATATGTTAATTGCGAAAGTAGGTATATAGATATGTTAGAAAGTTTACTTAGTAAGCTAGAAAGTAATCTAGAGAAACTGACCGTCCTTTTCTCTCTTAGATTTTTTCTTTTTCTTCTTTATGCTAACTAACGTTTTGGTTTTTATGATATTATAACTTTACTTATTTGGGTGTTTCTCTCAAAGAACCAATTGCCAATTGATTCTATGAAACTGCTATATGAATATTGATCTAAACCGGCTCTCGATAGCAGTCTTAAACTTTAACGTGTGAGTATCTTATAACTAAGTTTCATATGTCAATGTCAAGCATTTGTAAATTTTCATTTTGCTATTTATTAAATAGACGACCTATTGAATAGAAACATTTTAATGTATGTATTAAAACCGCCATAAATTCAGTAAATTCTTTTAATATAAATTCGACGGATTTTTCAGATTATGTTGCAGTCAAGGATAAATTCTATAAACACTTTTAAAGCATACATTAAAGATTAAATCAAGTTTTTAATGATTTATTTAAAATCATAAAAGATCATTAAACGTAAACTTCATCTATTGTGCATTGAATAAATTGTGTAAATATACGAATGGACGATAGCAAATAAAAACAATTTAGAATGGGTAATATTTTGGAAATATTAAGATTTTACTACAAAATAGAACTTCTAGGCATAGTATTTATGGACTTTATTAAAAATACAACAAATTCACCTACATTAAAAACTTAATAAAAATTATTTTTCTGAGTGCAACTGCAACTTGAAAATTCTACTTATTTCCACTAGTTTCTTAAAATTCCTAATTTGTAATTTGTTAAACCGGTATATATATAGAAAATCAAGTTATACGCGAATGCAAGTATGGAATATAAATCAGAGATTGTGATTATGCACATATGTTAACTACAGAGTGCATAAATACTACTCGTATGAACTATAGTAAAAACTATGTATATCACACTACATATCTACTTATTCTTACTGACACTATTCTTACTGACGACCTTAAACTTAATATACCATGCCAATATCAACGTTTAAGAGATTTTTCTTTTACAAAGCGCTGACGAGCTTTTTTTTTATTTATTTATTGACGTATTGTACATTGAGTATGTAATTAATAGTTAATTACAGACACCGGTTACGCAAAAACAAATTTTTTTAATTCACTTTAATATTTAACAATATCTCTGTGCTTTGTCTCTCAATAAAATATTGAATTTGCTATAATTTTAAATAGTTTGTAATTTGAAAATCCAACTCAGTCAAATACAAGCAGCCGCAAGAATCAAACGCTTTTAAAAATATAGGAATATCAATCCATATATATCACAAAAAAATGATGAAACGATGTTCAGAACTTTATTTAGATATGTTAATGATTTTAGTAATGTTAGGAACTCCAATCGCAATGTTTTTGAGTGTAATGTTAAAAATATATAATAGACTTTTTGGATCCAAAAGTGTGAAAAGCATAGCTGGTGAAATAGCAGTGGTAAAGCATAACAAGTATTTTATTATTATTCGTAGTGTGAACAAATAGTAACGGGAATCTCAAAATTGCGCACGCTCTCTCATATTTAGCGGAAAAAAATATGTTTTTGTGTATTGGTTGTACTGACAGTAATATTCATGTAAACTATTATGCTGCTAAGATGCTTAATTTATTCATTTTTTACTTTTTTGAAAAAAAGCAACGAACCCTGAAAACGTTGAAGTACTTGTATTCTATTAAAACTTTTATTTTTCGTCAGAGATGAATCCTTCTGAAATTACAGTCATGTTTCACGTCAGACAGCCGCTAAAAATACAGTGCTCTTGCGTTATTCTGAAATCAGTGACATTTTTGATCGAGCTGCTTATTAAATTTCTCTGACCAGTGACCAGCGTTGCAATATTTAATCAACCAAATATACATAAATATGTTTTTAGTTTTTTTGTGTGAATCAGAGAAACGTCACAATTTTAAAGAAAACCTTTGACAGAGTTATTATATCACAACTACAAGTTAATGAGTATATCACAAAAACGCTCTGATAAAGGTCAAGTAGACATTAAAGTTGACGCGAAAACTAACTATCTAATACGTTTATCAATAATCATAACGTGATAAAAATTAAACAGATCGTGTTCCTCAATACAAAAAGCACTGCAATTCATATTCAAGTTACTATTGTTAAGCGGGTATTACACATCATACTTGGTGCTACGATATGATGCGTTGAAATGGAAATTTGTACCAAGTCTCATGTGTGATAGCAATATATGCAGGAATGACGAGCAGACTAATGGAAATCAAAATATTTTGATTTTTCATCAGACTTGCTCGTGTTTCTTCGTATACAATCAGATTTTTGTCGGATACCGTGTAAATTTCATTCTATTTTATGACATCGAGGCAAAAACATCGTTTAAATGCACGCATGATATTATTTTGTAGTGTTTGTTTTTTTTGCTGAGGAATGTTTAAAAAAATGTCGGCAGAACATGAGTTTAATAGCAAGCTACGTCACACCAAGTTGTAGCACTAAGTATGATGTGTAATACCCGCTTAATAGCAAGCGATGTCGCACCAAGTATGATGTGTAATACCCGCTTTAAATGGCCCTTATAGCAGTTACGGACTTAGCACTTTTGCACATCACTGTGTAACTAAGCGTTATAGCTATATAATTAACTAATTATTTTTAGATATGATGTATTTTTAATATACCTACCTACCTGACTGCATAATAATCTTATTAAATATTAAAATTGAACTTATCACCTTTTCACTTAAAGCCTATATAATTTTTTATTATATATATATATTCTCGAATTAATTATAATGAGTATATAATATAAATGAATTGCAATTAACATACTCTTGTTAGATGAAAATGAGTTTCATTTTATTTTTTCATAGTAGATAATATAGTAGAGCTCAAGCTTCGCGAAAAGTTCTTAAGGTGTTGTTATAAATTTAAATACTTTGTTACTTGAAAATCAAAATCAGTCAATTAGGAACAGTCACAAAAATCAAACAGTTTCTAAAACATAGAAATATCTATATATATCATATAAAAATGAAGAATAGACTTTCAAAAGTTAATTTAGACATATTAATGATTTTGATAATGTTATCCACTCCAATCGCAATGTTTTTGGGTGTAATGTTAAAAATATATAATAGATTCTTTGAATTGAATAGTGTTAAAAGCATTACTGGTGATATAGCAGTGGTAAAACATAACAAATATATTGTTTATGTATATAAATATATATACGGAGTGTAAACAAAAAGTAACAAGAATAGTAAAATTTTGAACGCTTTTTCTTCTTTATCGAATTGAATATTTTTGTGTATTGGTTGCACAACCAGTAAAAATTAGCGTATTCTTCAATTTTTATGTGATAAAATATCAGATCAGAAATATTTCGTGTTAAGTGCAGTAAAGTATTGAAAACGTTGAAGAGAGCTTTCGATGGCTATACTTATCATCACTACGAGTTCATGAGTGATAGAAAGATTTTCAGAAATATCCTGAAGACATTGAAGGTAGCATAGTAGTCGAACTCTAAATCTTTTTAAAGAAATGAAATATTCTTGTACCTTTTTAAACACATCTCGTATGCTCATGTAGTATAAATAAATAATTAATTGCTTAAAGTGAACAACAATTAAAATTTAAGGTCATTGCATGATTAATTATCTAATATTAATTACACCGCTATAGCAAAAGTTCTTTTTTCAACTGAAATGTAATAGAAAGTAATTATATTAAAAAAAAATAAAATATGCGAGTATGAAAGGAATCGACAATTATACGCTGATATTGATTTTATTTAATTGGAAAATAACTAACAAATCTTCATAAAGTATATATGTAAAAACTTTCATTACAAAATTTTAAGTATTGCTCTATGCAGCTTGAACCACACATTGAGACACCTAAAAATTTTTTTTTTGACATTCAAGAACTAATGAGATCTGTTTTAAACAATTATGACATACTTCTTCACATCTAACATCTCCAAACCTTTCTTATTAAACATAGTTTTTCATAGTGCTCAAATCTACACCCCTTTTTTCTCTTAGACAACTGGGTCTCTGCCAATAATGGGGTAAAAATTTAGATTTTAAAATTCAAAAAGTAAATTTAATTTTAAACATTACAAGTTCCTCAATTCCGGATCCTTAATAAACTTGCTACGTATATGTAGATAAACATTTTTACCTTAGACGTATATATAGATAAACATTTTTGTCTTAGACATTTCCTCACAAATTTCTTCACTCTTCTGTTAAAAGAAGAAATTTTTCAAATATACCTTAAAACGATTTTTTTTTCTATAGATGCTCTCCTCAAGAAAAAAAAAGGAAAGTACGTAAAAGATATCTAAAGCGAAAATGTTTTTTTATTAATTCATAAGTTTGGTGAAGGCACAAAATTGCTATATCTTAAACTAAAAATTGATCTTTTAATTCCCCAATTTTTGAATTTTGAACCATTTAAATTATGAATAGACTACAACATATTATATTACAATCATAGATTGTAATATAATTACAATCATAGATTGTAATATAATTACAATCATAGATTGTAATATAATTAGGGTATCCTAATCAATAATAGTAACATAGAGTAATTAAAATGAAATTTTTACTAAATTGTATTCTAGTTTCTTGGTACTAAATTGTGTTCTTTTAGGTTACTGGTGGTGCTCGTGGTCTTGGAAAACTTATATCAATAGAATTGGCTAAACAGGGTTGTCATATTGTAATCGCTGATATCGACCTAAAGCAAGCAGAAGAAACAGCAAATTATCTTAGTGATTCGTATAAAGTCAATGCAAAAGCCTATAAGGTTAGTGAAAAGAAATTAATTATAATTTATTATACTACATTATCTTTATATTTTCCTGACACTATAATTTCAAACTATTGTAAAATTAAATTATAATAGATCTCTTAGATAAAACAGAAACACAAAACTCAGCCCATATTTGTTCTGAGATATGGGCAGCGTTAACGGTACAGTTTTTATAAATGTTGTTATAAAAACAGCGATCAGTATTTGCACATGGTCTATTTATGAAAGAGTGCACTTTTATTAAACACTTTTTATTAAATTATTTGGCTATGGGAATAGTTTATTTCAGTCTATTAGTGTACTCACATATACAGTAAAGAATATAAAAACGTAATTTATTTAAATAAATGAATAACTGTGAGTAACTTACTCTCTAAATTCATCAAGCTAGACTACCAGATTGGATTTGAAAGAAAGAATATTAATGGACAATAATTCAATATATGACTTTAGCCTTTGAACTTAAACATTTTAATAATATGGATTTTCCATAATTACAGATTTTTTTTCGATTGATATCCTACACTTTAGTTAATATTGAAAATAGGCTCTCTCTCCAATATAATTTTTTTTTTCTTGAACCAAGTATTCAACTCACACATATATGACACTTTGATATGGAATATACTTCATAGAGCAAATCTCTACCTTAAAAACTGAACAAAGTAAAATTATATTTCATTTTTACATAGGTAGATGTTTCAAATTATGAGGAAGTAGTGGAGCTCAATAAAAATATTATCCATGATTTAGGAAAAGCTACCATATTAGTAAACAATGCTGGTATTATGTTGTTTACAGATCCTTCAAATCCTGACTGGAAAGAAGTGCAACGTATGATAAATGTTAATTTAACGGCAAACATTTGGGTTAGTACTCGTATAATTATATATAAAACAACTTATTCAATATATTTAATCTTCAATTTACAACTAACACCTTTAGACTAATCGCGTCTTTCTAGAGAATATGAAGGAAGTGGGTAAAGGCCATATTGTTGCTATAAGCTCCGTAGCAGGTTAATATATTTTTATAATTTTACAAATTTTAATAAGTATATAAAAATGTTTAATATTTAATATTTTTGTCTAAAGGTATCACACCTTTCCCTTTTCATCCTGAATATACTAGCACTAAATATGCAATTCGTGGATTAATGCAAGTTTTGAGGATTGATTTAAAAATGGAAGAAAAATTTCGAAATATAAAAACTACATCAGTTTTCCCCACATTTTTGAATACTAATGCGAATATTTTAGAAATGTTAAAATCAAGCACTTTTTCTAAAATAGCAGTAGCACACGATGGAGAAAAAGTAGCAAAACGCATTATTCAAGGTATACTGCAAAATGAGGAAGAAATTTCGGTCCCTGAAATAAAATTAGCTTTCTCAAAATGTACAGAGTAAGTATTAAATATTATATATATGTCTATAAATTATAAAAATATTGTATATGTTTATTTTACAGCTTATGGCCAGTAGAAATCTTTGATCGAATTGTTAAAAGAATACTTTTGAAAGAAGAAAAATAAGATAAAAATGAATTGAAATATATCTCAAATTTCTATTTAAAGGTCTAGTCAACATCATTTCAAGAAAAATTGGAAACTGCTGTTTTCTTTAAACAAAAATAAATTTTTACTACAAAAACAAAAATATTAGAGAGTTTGTTTAATATTATATAAAAATCTTAAGGGGACTCCCAATATACGATGTGTAAAATATTATATGTCATATGCCAGACCTTATCAATATTTAGTAGCTTAACCGTACTAAAATTAAATGTTGCATCTTTAGTGGTTCTGATTGGCTTTCGCCTATTGTCGAGTTCACTCATCAGAATGCCGATTTGTGTCCAGAGTGTAGTAATGGAGTGTCATTTCGTCTATGTCTATAGATAGCATTTCACATATGATATTTTCATATGTGAAATCCTAAGGAACACCAAAATTAGATTTATCAAAATATGTATATATAGATATAGTTATATTTATATTTATATATATTATATTTTATATATCGACATCCACGACATCCACTAGCTGTATCTCTGTACTTTCCAATTGAGATGCTGCCAGTAACTGCCAATAACTTCTTCTTTTTAATCGCACATCAAAGACAAATTTCGAGTACAATGATCCTTTTCATCGGCAAGCCGTCAATGCTTTTAAAAAAATAAGTTTAGTAAATGACTCGAACATGCATTTAGGAGAATATGTTAATTCATATAGTAAAAGATATTTAAAAACAATAAAGAAATTTTCAATTAAAAATGGCTTTTTTTATTACTAGTAAGTTGGTTCCTTCCGTATAGACTCTTCCTTACTATTCTCGTTCTGCATAATCCATGCCGATCATCATCATTCATGAAGCATTATTCATGGTGATAGTATCTAATGTAGTCAAATAGAAGAGCTATGATTATCTGATCACCAAATAAATATGCTCGTGAAAGAAATGCTTTAAGTTTTAAATGAAATAAAAAATGATTTCTATCACCTCGTTGAATATTATGAATAATAGATTTACAATTCAGCCAAACACAAAGTTTGACTTACCTCACTGAAAATAAAAGAGTTGCCACTGTTTGTTTATGTCTATCCCTGTTTGACCATGGCTGTTTTCAAACTACCTTACTGTATACAACTCTACTTGATGTTACCTGACTGAATATGCTTCGATATCATTATATTTCTACAGCAATTCACAAAATTCAATTCATAAAATTTTATTAACTTACTTAATTAAGCACCTACAATATTGAACTTCTTGTTTTAACAGTTTTATACAAATACTTGTATTTTGTGGTCTACATTCAATTTATTAACGATATCATGACTGTTTACATATTAATCTTTAAAACCTATTTGCAATTTTTTGCATATATTTTGGCTGACCCATGCAGAGAACTGCAATAAATGCTCAACACTCGAATCATACTCGAATCATACTTGAATCATACTCAAATGATACTCGAATCATTGACTGTATTTTACTTATACGCAATCTGAATCTTTTATCGTGTATTCTACTTCACCTGATTCATACATACAACTGACAGCATTTATAATGTTGGATACTCTTTTTTAATTTATCATTATTATACTCATAAACTTCAATTCACAACACCAAAATTATCCAAATGATTTATACATTATTCATGAGTACTGTGCATATAATTTTCTAAACTAAAACAAACCCTAATTCAATGCACACATAATTCAATGAACACTAAAAACATTTTCACCAACACAAAAAAAAAACACACACAAATAGTCATTCAATTTCGATGAGTACATTAATTGATTCATACTACTGAATGCTGTGATTCGTGTACGCACTCTTATTACATTGATTCATTAACACCGGAATCATTTTTGTGGCGAATGTAAATGCGTATATGTATCAGGAAAACATTAATACTCATTTATACTTCGTTTTTTATGAGTGTACTCTGAGTATTTAAATTATCACTCATTACAGTTCTCTGCAGCCATATCGCTTACAAATATCCAAAAGCTAAATAAGATAACCTTTATCTGATTGTTGATTGCAATTAAATTACTAGTTATGCTAAAAGCAAAGACTAGCATAAACACTTTCCTTTAATTTATTTCGGTATTTATTTTTATATTTTTACTTATACATCTCTTATAAAAAATTATATTTTTTCCGAAACCTTTTACCAACCATCATGTTAAGTATTAAAAATACAAATAACAACATATAATAAATTACCTTTGTATATAATATTTCAATCTGGAACATCTAAAATCATAACATGCAACTACTCCCTTCTTTTTGCGTTTCGTCTACAAACAGAAACTCAAAGTCAAGCAAACAGCAAAAGCACCGATTACTTTATCTCCAACCGTCTATTTAAATTCGTATTTAGTAATAAATTAGTTATTAAAATAATGATGCGAAACTAATGATTTCAATCTCAATTTTTAAATTACAAATAAGCAAATAACCAAAATATTGCACTGAAATCGCATCTATTTTATATGTAAAAATATATCTCATTATTAAAACAATATAAAAAACATATGTTGCTTATATATAATATACGGGTTTTATAAAATTGATACTTTGCTCTTATATTTTGTATACATAATAATGGCATGACTTAATCGTATTAACTAATACCAACAATTTCAACTTTCGTTGTATGAATACAGCATTCTGTTGCAAAGCTGTTGTTCAGTCAGGTTTTAGCAGTTGAAGCGTTTAAAATTGAAATATATTAAACTAGTACAGATTTAATTAAAATGTCAAAAACGAATACGGGATTAATCAGACCCACTTACAGTGCTCCATTAGTGATTTTACTGACACCCTTAATTATAATTTTTCAAATCCTTTTATATGTTTATCGGGTATTTTTTCCAAAAACAGTTGCGAAAAGTATTACCGGCGATATAGCAGTGGTATTATAATTTATAAAATAAAATTTATCTTTATAATGTGTAAATAAAAGTAAATACATAGTCTCCAGAAGGACTTAATTATTAGATATTAAAATTATGTGTATGAGATGAAAAATAAAAATTCACATAATGTAATAATATATTTACTTATCATTTGGACATTGATCATATGGATCCATAAAAATACAAAGAGAGTAGAGCATATACATCACATATGAACTAAGATAATTATATATAAAATCTATTAATTTATTATATGTGTATGGATTATTTACATAAATACGTGTGTACATTATATGTATAGAGAAAGTACATTATTTTGGAGTGCCAAAAATTTACAAGCTAATTCCATGATCTAAAAAAAATTCAAAACTTGAAAAAAAAAAAAAATTGATAGAGTAAATTTTCAGTATTTACGAGTACCGACATACAGAACTACAAAAAAGTTCTCGTGCAAAAAAAAAGAACATTAAATCAAATACTCAATCATGCTTTAAAAAATGTATCATTCAGATAACTAAAATGATGTAATGATATTTTAATATATATAATAATAACCATTTAATGGATGTCGACCATGTCCTTGTACTTAAATGGGTTCAGAAATTTTCAAATATAATTCAAATATAATTTTTTTTTTCAAAATATACGATTATCATTCCAAAAGAAAATATTTATCTCAAAGTTCATAAAATTTGCATATGTTAATTTTTGGTTTGCATAAATTCATTTTTAATCATTTATTATTATTTTTTTAGTGCTTATTTATCTTAGCAAAATTTAAATGTTTTTTTTTTAAATAAGGTCAATTGGAAAAATGATAACAGAAAACAGTGGTTAATACTATTTTCACACTTAAACTTATCGAACCGGTTATATTTTTATATGGATTTTGCATGAAAAACGACAAATTTTGCTTCATATTTATCGCGTGAATTTCAATAGTGTAAACATAACGAAAAATCACAAATTTTACTTTCATTGACACAGTCCATGGAATTATCACCTTACAAAATGGGTCTGTCCGAAGAGATAGATTCTCAACTCTGCTTAGAAGCAGACTAGATTTTCATTCTCTGACTGGGACAGGGGAGGTCACTTGGTCGAAAACTACTCTTCCTTTCTGACATTAGGAGGTCCTCAGCGGCCGACATTCTGGCTTTCATATAGAAGACGGAATGTCTTCTGTTCGGTTAGGGTCTGTTCCAGTACAAAAGATCAATCATGTTCGCATTGCTCCGTTCCATTGGGAGCTGGTACTCCGTTCATTTCTATTTCTATGAACAGAATTAATTTAACTGCAATTTTGAGACAAATAAGGTTCTCTAAAAATATGATTAAACCCATTTATGTAAAGAATAATATTATTCCTCAAATTAAAAAATATTTACGTTTATGATATATAATTTGACTTATTTGAAGTAACCATTGATGAAATGGATAGTATTTTCTTTGAAATAATTTAAATTTCTTTAGTAAATATTAGAAAATATTGGTATATATTAAAAATGGTGATATTCCCTTGCCTACGTCCTAATAGATTTCTTAGTTTTTTGCAATATTGAATCAACTACCGTAGCTAACACACTTTTAAATGAATTTCCCTGTATATCAAATATCTATTAAAACGCAAAACACTATTATTGATATATATTTGGTTTTAAAAATAATTAATTTTAATGTAAACATTTTTCTCCCTTTAATCTATTATAATTATATTTATTATTCAGATAAACAACTGATGCTTAGTATGCATTATTATTAATATACATAAATTTATAGGCAAATGAATTCAATAATAAATCAATTAGCAACAGAAAAGACGCACGTATATAAAACAAATTCTCAACATCATTTTACAAATTTGAGTAATTAAATCAATCATTTAAAATGTCACAATGCCCATCATATACGTAGTACAACACTTCACTTGTCTTACGCTTGCAATCACTATTCATGTGTTTAAAGATATTCAATAAATTAAATAAAAAGCAAAGTGCCAGCGAACAGCTCTTAAAAAACTGAAAAAATAGTAATTGCCAGCTAACAGCACTACCCATTATTATTAATAAATTTTGAAGATTTTAATAAAAACTTTGTTACCATATTTCAAGCATTGAATGTGTAATAGATTAAACTGTGTTATCATCTTAACAAGATGGGCCTGTCACTTAGACAAAAAATATCGTCAGTGTTTTGAAGATATTGTGACTGTAGCTTATAACTGGGGTTTGGTCAGTGTCATTACATATGCAATGACTTACACGATTACCTATTGCTTAACAATTATCGTAAACAACAACTATGTGCTGATCTTCCAATAGGAGCTTAATCAAGGTATCATAGTTTCATCGGTTCCTATTGATGCTATATGATTCCACATGATTTTTTTCTAGATGATGAACAAGAGTGACGTAAATTCTCTTTCTATGCTGTAAGTTACAGCAGAATTGGTAGGAAACACAACTCCATAATAATATGCTGCAAACATCATCCGGTAAACTGATACCAGATTTGCATCTTCGGTCTAGTGTTGCAATTGAAACGAACTTAATACTGGCTGTTTGTGGCTAGTACGTTTGAATGGGCAAGGTGGTATTCAATGAATTTTAGTCGCCTCTTGTCTTACTTTGGAAATATTCTATCTTATGTTCAGAAAACCGATTTGGACGGAACTTAACGGAAGTTCTGGGCTCAGAGCATCTATTCCATTTGATATTATGAAATCATCAATGAGGAATATTCCAGTATTTTTTTGAAAAGCTTTTTAATTTAGTTTTTATTTTGTTACCAAGTTTCGGAGACATTAGCCAATATGTTACAGAGCTACCTTTAAGACTAATGTGAATAGTATCATATCAGTTTTTCAACATATATTATGTAGGGTATAACTTTTAGATTGGACTAGACTCGGTTATGGTGAATATTTATTTTAAAAATGTTAAGCTTTATAGATCAATACACATTTTTAGAGTTTTACTTTAATGGTTTTTATGAAACATTAATTTATTCATACTAGATTCTAGAAAACAGATTTTTTATTAATAGTAACCGGAAGTCTACAAAACTTCTAGTTATTTAGCATTACTGATTACAACAATTTATTAATCTCTCGGTGTTTTTCAATTACATTTCAAATAATTGAATGACAAAAACACTGCTTGTGTTAACTGATATTAACTAACATTTTTTTTAACCTATAATTATATATAAAACTGCTACAGTGTATCTGAATAAAAAATGTCGAAATAATTTAATTGCAAATATGTTATATTCTGAGCAAAAAATAAAAAAGATATTTCTTGCTTGAATAAATGATTGCTTCATTTATCACTAGTCAAACTAAACAATAATTTGTTTTTTATTACTTTGCGTTATAATAAAATTATACTACCATAAATTAAATTAAATTAAATTAATAAGAAATTATGAACTCATTACAGGTAAAAATAGTTTCCTCGTAGCATCCCACAAATCAAGCAGAGCAACAGACTTTGGTATAGGCAAAGTATAATTTCTTTATAGTTGTTGTAATCTAATAAAAAAGGGTTTTGAATCATTACAGTTTATGTGAAATTGCTTTAAGTTTTATTATTATTAATTTTTAAAATTTAATTAAGCTATAATAAATGAGGTTTAGGTTGGGTTCATACTTTAAACAAACCTAGTCACACATTAAACTGTCAGATACAAAGGTTAGTTAGTAAGTTCAGTTTAAAGGTCTCAAAAAAGTTCAGCATATATTAATAAAGTTATGAATTTTCTAATAAAAAAATTTTCAAAGATTTTTATAATTTTATGTGTTCCAATCGTAATAATCCTAGATGCGCTGGTTAAAAGATTCTAAAAAGTTATTTGAAGTGACAATCAATGTGTATATGGGTCGTTCTTTTACAAACCGGACGGATTTTAACAAAAAATGACCTCATGATCTCCGATTTTATCTGAATTTTTTTTTATGAGCTCCTTTCACAAAATAAGAAGACCCGTATCTCGGGAAAAATTTTTGTGCCAATTCTCAAAACCCCATGGGTCCATATCTTCCATATCTTCTAAATCACAACATTTTTTTCCCGAGAGTATAAAAGGAGCTCATTAAAAAAAAATTCAACCAAATCGGAGATCATGAAGTCAAAAAGATGTCCGAGTTGTAAAACAATGACCCATATACATTAATGCATATATATCTCATTAAAGTTGTTGTTATTCAAAGTTTATGATATAAATAATAAAATAACTTGTAATGAAGTTTTGATACATCAATACCTAGTTAATGGTCTCTAAATAATAATATTTAAATGGTAGGAATTTTTAGTCACTAGAACGAAACGATGTTGCTAAAGAATAACATAATGACAAAATTCTGATTTTGGTTTACCATCTTAAGAGGATATATTTATAAGCTGTGGCGATTGTTACAGATAATTTCAAAAAACATATTCCTACCATATACTATTTAAATACAATGTCCACACCACCTTTCAGGTAAGCATATCTTGCACGAACTTACTTTCTTAAGAAATTAGTTCTCAAACTTTAACTTTAATCTATATTCCTTTTGATACGCTAAAATGACTACTGCGATTTCATTCCTATGCCACTAACTTTTTACCAAAACTATAAAAACTAGATAAATATACCAACTGATGCAATGAAATTGGATGAAGTTAAACCCAAATCTTCATATATAATAAGGAGTTGTTCATTGTATGAACTAAAACTTATTCTTTAGCAGATTGAAAGTTTGCTTTATTTTATATGACAGCACGACTTTGCCCTTCAAAATGGTAAGGCTGAGAATATTATGTGATAGCTGCATAATTTTGTTTACCGCCAGAAATAAAGTACTCAACCAAAACCTTTTCATCTTGTTACGAATCAGAGACTTCACCACAGATATAATATTCACCCCCAACTAAGAATTCATTTTTAACACAATAAATCCGTTAAGCTCACTGTATTTTTACACACTTAATAGCTTTCGTAATACCTTTACGAACACACTCCTAAGCTACGATCAAAATACCATCAACTTTGCCTGGATAAATATAGGATTTCTGATCACAATTACGTATCTAATCCAAAAGGAGAATACTGTACTGGGAAATTTTGTAGTTATTCTGATTTAAAACAATTCATAACTAGCTTTACAGGCAAAACTGAACACCCTTTTATGGATCAAAGTCAGTTGCAAGTCAAAAAATCGAGAATATCTTCAATACTCCGCAGTTTGATTGCAAGTTTTATTTTTAAAAGAAATAGCACTTTTATGAATATTTTACTTGGAAAAGTTTGTCTGTTACTATTGATAAGATATTTTAAAAAAACATTTCATGCATAAATGGCAACTTTTACAGCTACTTATAACTTCTTACATCTACATCTCATAGCTCTTAATATATGTTTGACTATATGTAGTTCAAATTAAACAATATATTATAAAAAATAAGTTCATTAAAATTAATATTAAGGTTTCACACGGAATGAAATGAAAATGAATCCGTAGAATATTATACTAAATAAAAACAATAACGAAAACTTGAATATTTAAATATAATGCTCTTATTTCAAGAAGTTTTGTAAAAAACATTTAACATTCTAGTTTTAGCATAAGCTGAGTATTCGAAATAAAATATAATCACATAAATTATGAAATTATTTGCCTATAGGTAACTGGGGGAGCAGGAGGTCTTGGCAGAGCTATTTCTGTGGAACTCGCTAAACAAGGTTGCCACATTGTGATTGTTGATGTCAATTTTGAGTTAGCGGAGCAAACGGCGACATCCATTCATGAAAAATATAAAGTGAAAACGAAAGCTTATAAGGTTTGACATTATAATACATTTAAATTTATAGAATATATATGTATATAAGTTATTCTGGGTTTAGGTCGATGTTACAAACTACGACGAGGTAGTGGAACTTAATAAAAATATTAGCAATGATATAGGAAAAGCCACCATTTTAGTAAATAATGCTGGTATACTTTCATTATCTGACCCTTTCAATCCCGATCCAATAGAAGTTCAAAGAATGATTAATGTTAACTTGACATCACATTTTTGGGTATATATTTTTTTTACATTCGCACAAGATTCAAAGGGTAAACTATTATTCTTCATATTAATTTTAATCACTTTAGACAAATCGTGTATTTTTACAAAATATGAAGGAATTGAATAAAGGTCACATTGTTGCTATAAGTTCTGTTGCAGGTTAATAATGACATTTTTTTTATGATTTTTTAATTCAATAAATATTTATTAACTTATCCTTTTGACTTAAGGTTTAATGCCTCTACCTTTCAATGCACAATATACCAGTACGAAATATGCAGTACGTGGATTAATGGGTGCTTTAAAACTGGAGTTGGTGATGCAAGAAAGGAGGTGTATTAAAACGACAACAGTTTTTCCAACATTCTTAGATACAAATTCAGAAGCTGTAAGACTTCTTGAGAAATCTAATTCTAATAAAATCTTTATTTTGCATAACGGCGAAGAAGTTGCCAAGCGCATTATCCAAGGCGTACTGCGAAATGAAGAAATTATTGCAATTCCTGATATAGCATCACTGTTCACAAGATGCCTAGAGTAAGCATAAATATAACTTAAACACTTTAAAAATTATGTGTAATCCAATATATATAATCCAATTTGAAACAGGTTTTGGCCACACGATATCATCGCTTTTTTTATCTCAATGACATATTCAAAAAATGTAAGTAAAGAATTCAAGGATCTGGCGAAAAAAAAACTATAAAAATTAGTTAAGAATCCCATTATTATTTTAAATATTGTTAATTATTATTGTTTAATAATGTATATTAATAAAACTTGTATTATTGGTTTAAAGTTATGGAAAAGTTATGTATATTAATAAATCTTGTATTATTGGTTTAAAGTTATGGAAATCTATTAGCGTTTTATTTTTGGACCAACATTTAAGTTAGAGGTAAATAAGATGTCTTACAGATATTATAATTTAAATCATATGAAACATGTTTTTACACCATATATTTGCATAAATATACAACGCTAATAATCGTTATAATCAATATATACTACCACCATATATTTTTTGTACAAAAGTATCACACTAGCTATACTATATATACTAGCTCTAACCATACAAATTGTGGATTGATGCAATTTTTAAGGTTTCATTTCAAAAAAAAAAAATTCCTAAAAATAAAAATATGCATTTATCCATTCAAAAAATGCCGAAAACTCTTCGTATAAACATAGAGAAGTTCCAAGGGAAGTTCCTTTAAAGACAAATATATTCAAAAATCAACTATATTACGAAGATGAAATGTGAAGAGCAATTAATATGGCTAAAAACAATAAGGTTCTTTCACCAAACAATTCACCAAACATAATTTTTAAAGTTATTGATGATGGAAACTTAAATATATAATATGTATATATATAATATGTTGACAAAATTTACAACACTGAAATAATTCCATTACTCATATTATGTTGAAGCTATTTGAGCCAGTGCACTTGAGCACTTTTAGTCTTTCTAAACTCGAGATATTTTCAAAACCCGACCTCAGATTTGCATACCTCCCCGAGGAGCCTGTAACCATTCCATTGCTTAATAGCATCAGTGATTAAAGGTTGTTAAATTTAAAATTTCTTGAAGTTATTCTAATGAAAATATCGAATGAATGAGAGAAAAGATTGAAAAGTGATCTGTTAGTTTAGGAGAAAGAACTGGCACCAGATTAATTAAACCCTGCACACTTAATGGATTACATCAGTACTGTTTTGAATCACTCTGTTCAATGTATTCTTAAATATAATTTGCTCGGAAGTAATCATATATATGTAATAGCGGTACATATTCTGCTGACCAGATAAACTTAACTAATTCCAGTATCTGGTAAAAAATGTAGTCGATATCAATCAAATTTACAATCTCAAGGCTATCATCTCAAAACCAAAATAGACGATTCTGTTTAAAAAAACAAATTTTTGTAATGTAATTATGATTTAAGAAATATTAAGAATCTGAACATATTCTCCATATTGAAATATTTGGAACCATTGTTAAATGATGACCAGAGCTCCTACCAGTAAACCTAATGGAGATTGGAAAATTTTAAATTTCACTTTGAATAAAACTCTCTTAAATTGAGACAATTTGTACCAGTATCAAATCTTCAGTTGAGAACCTATGAAATTTTCATTAAAATAATAACTTTTGAAGCGTAAATCTAACAGAAGGGAGCTATAAAACATTTTCTTTTGATATCATTATTTTAATTAATTAATAAAAAACTATCACTTTATTATTGACATAAAATATTCAAGATAATTTTGTGATACATTTTTTAGTATATAGCTAAAAGATTAATCGTTTTAATTAAAAATTAATAATGGATTAAAGGTTAAAAATGAAATAATAAATAAATGGATTCTTATATGATGTTTAGTTCAATCGAAACTGTTGTGTTGAGATGTTTTTACAAAAAGTACGGACTATCATAAAAGATAATATGAATTTCCTTTTAGATCAACTTGGAACGATTTTGATAAATTTATTTATTATTATCGCGATATTGTTAGATGTGTTATTTAAAATTTACCAAAAACTTTTTGGAAGTGTTAAAAGTATTTCTGGAGAAATTGCTGTGGTAATTTGTGAATAATATATACAATATATATACATATCTATATACATATATATGATATATATAACATATTGTGAACCAATATATAATAAATGCAGTACATTTAATCTCTAAGTACATATATTGAAATTTAATAAATAATAATTTTGTTATGAACTTCAGATATATCATCAACAATATATAAAATTATTCATTCTATTTAATCTAATCTGAAATATTTATTTAAGACTAATTACGCACTGGGTAGTAAAGAATTTACAGCATACTAGTTGGACACAGAATCAGTAAGTACATTACAGTACTTAAGTACACAGTAAGTGTACTTATTTGGACTCTTGTTGATGTTCGGCGAGAGTATAAGATATGTCCGTACTAATATGGAATAGTGGAAATGATTATAAAACGATGGATACAATTCGACTTTGCTAATTAAGATGTAGCGAATATGGGCAACAAGTAACCATTTATGTAATATAATTATTCAGCAAAATGATAATCAGCCATAAACTTTTCACCCCATTAAAAATCAGAAACTTCACCGCAGATAGAATATTTACTCTCCGGCTAGACACTTACTTCTAGTGAAAAAAATTTATTAAGCTCACGTAATTTATTTAATTAATTTATTTTTTCAACGGTTTGAAAATGTTTGAAAAAATAATGGCTAAAAATTGTTTCTAGAACGAATGTAAGCACAAGTAATTTTTTTGTTTGATTTTAAAATGTAATGTTTAGTATCAGAATTGTCATCACATTTATTAGGACTAAGCGGCACTGATCTGAGTCTTAGAATAATATTAAGATGAGGCTTATAATTGAATATTCTGAAATCAAAAACTTCTTATATAGCGAGTTCCTGTACTTTATTGGAAAAACTAAATTTTTTGTTGGGTCAGAGTCAGTTGCAACTCAAAAAATTAGCAATGTTCGCAGTACTCTGCGCCAATAGGAACTTCCGTTTCTATTATATATTAGGTCTGTTCCACGAGCTACACGTAGTAAAACTCAAGTAAAACAGAAGTAAAATTTACATGAAAGTACACGAAAATTTGTAGATGGAACACACTTGTATATACAAAGTGTTACTCGTAGTAAAACTCAAGTAAAATTTACTCAAAAATATACGAGGGAATATTATATCAAATAAAAACAATAACGAAAACTTGAATATAACCCCCTTTCCTTCAAGAAGTTTTGTAAAAAAAACGTTTGAGTATTCGAAATATGTGATTATGTACATAAATTATTAAATTATTTGCCTATAGGTAACTGGGGGAGCAGGAGGTCTTGGCAGAGCTATTTCTGTCGAACTCGCTAAACAAGGTTGCCACATTGTGATTGTTGATGTCAATTTTGAGTTAGCGGAACAAACGGCGAAATCTATTCATGAAAAATATAAAGTGAAAACGAAAGCTTATAAGGTTTGACATTATAATACATTTAAATTTATAGAATATATATGTATATAAATTATTCTGGGTTTAGGTCGATGTTACAAACTACGAAGAGGTAGTGGAACTTAATAAAAATATTAGCAATGAAATAGGAAAAGCCACCATATTAGTAAATAATGCTGGTATACTTACATTATCTGACCTTGTCAATCCCGATCCAATAGAAGTTCAAAGAATGATTAATGTTAATTTGACATCACATTTATGGGTATATATTTTTTTTAGATTCGCACAAGATTCAAAGGATAAAATTTTATTCTTAATATTAAATTTAATCACTTTAGACAAATCGTGTATTTTTACAAAATATGAAGGAATTGAATAAAGGTCACGTTGTTGCTATAAGTTCTGTTGCAGGTTAGTAATGACATTTTTTTTATGATTTTTAAATTCAATAAATATTTATTGACATATCCTTTTGACTTAAGGTTTAATGCCTTTGGTTTTTAGTGCAGAATATACCAGTACGAAATATGGAGTACGTGGATTAATGGAAGTTTTAAGATTGGAGTTAAAAATTATAAAGGGGTGTCAAAACATCAGAACAACAACAGTTTTTCCAGTATTTTTAGATACAAATGCGGCAATTCTAAAAAAAATTCAGAACATAAATATGTCGAACATATTTTTATCAATACAGAGTGGTGAGAAAGTTGCCAAACGCATTATTCAAGGATTGCTGCGGAATGAGGAAAATATAACAATTCCTGACTTGGTATCAGCATATACAAAATACATAGAGTAATTATATATGTGGTTGTTATTGTGTATTAATAATAATTTAATATTTTTCACAATTTCTAATAGAATTTCACCAAATAAAGTCAATAGTTGGTTTGCATCAATTATGTATTCTAAACATGAAATCAAATTACTTAAGGAACAGGAAGTACAAAAACTACAAAGGCCTGAAAATATCACATAAAATATTATTTAAAACTACATATAATAGTTTTTGGTTTATAAAAATATATAAAATATATAAAATTTATTTTTTTATTTTTTTGGTGGTATGCCCTAAGTTTGCACAGACAAAAATCTATCCCTCTCATATGTCAGACTGTTTCCTCGGCGGCACTTTATTTGTTTAAGGTAGGACCCGTATATTGGTTATCAATTGATCACTTTCGATGATTAGGTCACAAGCTAACGAAATGATTCGTTAGCCTGTGTTTAGATGTGGCTTAGATTTATTTCTTTATCTATTCTTCGTAAACTATTATTATTCTAACAATATTATTATTCTATTGTTAAATTAACTAAAAACTATAAATTTGCTTCTAAGCAAAATTAATATTTTCTAGCATTCATATCTATGGGCGTACCCAGGGTCGAAATTAGCGGGCGCTGATATACTGATATGATATTATGTATTTTAAAGTGTGCTAAGGTACTTTTTACTACTTTTTTCTTTTTCTTTTTGGCTTATATTAGCTAATATATTTCACGCCTAGTTCATTGAAAACTTGAAAATTAGATTTAGTTCACAAAAAAGTCGTTTTTATTTGTGCCCCTACCTGTGTACGCCCATGTTCATATCTGCAAATATAAAGATATTGGGTGATAAGAAAATATCCGTCTTTTTTTGAGACAATTTTGAAGAAATTGAAAAATTGCTCTAATGAAAATGAATGTTATAAAGTTTACATTTGTCATTTTTATTCAAGAGTTTTGTCATTCTTCGGGTAGTTTCATAAGTTCCATCAATGTAGCACTTCTGTGATTTATCGGCGAAATACTTGACCAAATGAAATAGAAATTTCCGGAACGAGTTCAAACAAACTATTGCTAGGTCCGCACTTTACTCATAACAACTTCATTGTAAACCGTATAAATTTTTTGTTATATATTTGCATCAGTTTCACCTGTCATATACTTATATTGTAGTATTGTAGTAATAAAGCATCATCTATCGTATTTGTTCAGATATTTCATTCGGTTTTAAATCAATATAACTAAAATATTAGCTTTCTAACACATATTCATTGACATAATCGGGTTAATGCTGCTAAATATATGGATACCACCAGTAGCAGAAAACAGCGATTACTTTTTATATCACCTATTATAAATGTAGCATACGACAACTGATGTTTTAATTATATTTTATCTATAGAAACTTAATTTTTTTCTTAAAGTAGAATTTATTCATTTATATACTTATACACTGTGATATACTAATAGATAAATATAGGTTGCCTGCAACAGATAATGAATTATTATAGCTTTTGTCAGAATATTCTTAATTAGCAGCCACAATAAAACCGATTGCACTTCTTAAAATAGCACTATTAAACACTTTCAACTAAAGAACTATTTTTACTGATCCAGAAAAAGTCGTTATAAAAATAATAAAAACATGTGTTTTCTAAATCTATAAAAAAAACGTTCCCCAAACCGACCCCATATGAAGGAAATCATTTTAATTTAAATAAAAACAAGTCTAAATATATTAAAGGGCACTCTAACCATTTAAAAGAACAAAAAACAAAATGCATTAAAAATATAAAAAAACTAAACTCTACAAAACGTTGAACCAATCAAATCAATTTGCTATACAAATGCATATACAAAAACAAATAGAAGAAAATAAAGAAAAACCACAACAACAAATTGAATGATAGCTAAAATATGCAAGCAGCGTTAAATGATCCCAAACAAAAAATTCGTAACGACACACTTGCACAAGGAAACAAACGCAAACAACAACAAAAGCAATAACGACAGTAGCTGCACACACAACAATTTCTAATTAGAATTATGACATTTGGAGCATATTAAAGACCCCCAGCACCTGATAAAGTTGTTTGGCTTTGTGTTTGTTGTTATTATTGTTGTTGTTGCTTGAAGAGTTTAATGTTTACATTGAATTGTGCAATGATATTTTTAAGTGTGTAATGTACACATGCGCATCAATAGTGCACCCTCGATCATTGAGGCTGGGTACGAGCGGCTTAAGTTTGATTGCTTAAAATAGCTTCTAATAATAGACACAAGCCAGTCTACTGTGTAGTCTAAACACTCAAGTTTGTGTAAGTTTTTATTGCTTTGAAGTGTTGAACGTTATGGAAGCAGTTATGCATATATTTCTGCTATATTTTATCTATTTTATCTTTGCACTTTGACTATTATTCACACGGCGTAATTTTAACTGAATTATTAATTTATATATAATATTAACATATATAATAAAGAAGAACCAGAATAAAACAGATTACTGGGATAATGTACCAGGATTAACATAATCCAAATCACTTATTGGTACCTATAACAATAAGAGATTGTATGAACCTATTAAAAGAAAACTTAGAATCCTAACAGGAATCCTAACAAGGACTCTAACACTGTAAACTAAAATACCATCTTACGAGATAGGGTATACATACAGATGCAAACTGAATGCCCTGCGCTATCACACATACGGAATATCAGAAATGATATATTTCCAATGCATACAATCGCAAATGAGGACTTGGACCTTACTGCCGAAAATCATGCGATCTATGCTAACGCAAACCACTATACCAGTTTATGGATAGAGTTGAGGCTAAAAAACTTCTACATACGAGGGTGGTTTGATAAGTCAGTGACTTTTTGAATAAAACAAATTTTTTTCACCTTTAATCACCTTTTAGCTTGATACATTTAGTGCAGCGTTTTTAGTCCCTCCAAATAATAGGTTTTTTCAAAGCTCTCAAAATACGCGTACGTTTCGATAATGACTTCTTCATTCGACTCAAATCTCTAACAGCCCAACCATTTCTTTAGGTTTGGAAACAGAAAATAGTCGCAGGGGTCTAAATCTGGAGAATATGCTGGATGGGGTAGCAGCTCGTATCCCAAATCGTGGATTTTGGCCAGTAATGCTTAATCAACACACGAAATTCACTTATTTTCATTTTCGTAAACTGAACGATGTAGCTTGCTCAAAATTAGAAAGTTGCCCACTGATAGATTACAGCTGACGGTAGAACTGTTGCATTTGGAGTAACTGCGCGAGAAATTCAAAAGGACTTATCAAACCGCCCTCGTATATTTATGTATGTATAGATATATCAAATATCTATTTCCTTTAATAGCAGTTAATGCAATTAAAAGACAAAAATCAAACAAATCTTTTGCTAATAAAAATTTAATTGTAGTTCCGGCATTCCATACTTATCAATTATTAGTTCGATAAGTGATAAAAAAACGACTTTATTGAAAAAAATATGTAAAAATTATATTGTAATTAATTAATTAAAATTAAAAGCTTAATTTATGCGATAGAAAAATATAACAACCACACAAACTCTGATATGATAATTTGTATCTTTTACATTTACTCTGATTCTGAATTTATTGGTTGAATTGCTGTGTATGCCATTTTTCATGGAGAGCAGCTATGGATTTTATGTTAATGACAGTTGACAGTGTAAACTTAATAAAATTGCAATATATAAATGTACATAAAATAAATAATTATTTTTTTAATTTTACAATGGCATAAACGTTCTGCCGTTGCGCTTATAATGAAAAGGAAAAGATTTATTGCCAACAGCAATTAAGAAATCGCTGAGCAGTAAACGATTGCACTGTAAGTAAGCAGAACTATAAATACGTACGCACTCTGACATAATATACTCATATATAGATTTACAGATATTCTATATGAAGTGGATTAATATAAAATTTTATTAACGCCACATTTTCCTCATGAAAATGGCTTTCAATTCCCTCTGCCTGCAGTCATTCAATGATGGATTGAATAATTTCTCATAAATCCTTTAACATTTTTCGGTTCGTTACGTCGTTAAAAGGTGTTAAGCCATTTTAATTTTCATTTTACCCCTAAAGAGCATTAAATAAAAATTGTTTTCTATTCCATAAAGAAATATTAGAATAATTCTAATAACTTAATTCCATATGTGTGTAAGTACAGTATGAGAAAATGTCTGTGTGAAATATTAATATTTTTAATGGAACCAATACTAGATTTTGCGTGGGATGCAATCATGTTGAAATACAAAAATTCTTCATTAATGCTGCAGCTAAAGTGCATTCTTAACCACTCATCTAGTTTTTACCGTTTCCCCAATCAATACTTCTTAGTCATTTACACTAAATCGGCCAACATCAGTTTTACTTGTAGCAAGCCAGCAAGCAAGATTATTAACTTTCCAAACATTAGTTTCTAACCGAAGTTTCGAAACAGAATTTACATGGCACTAATTGGAGTAAAGAAATGATATATCAAAAGCTAACCCTCATATGAATCAGAAATTGGGCAGAGAAACAAAAGTCAACCAAATACTAAAAGTTCGGATCCTAACCTTTCTCGAAATATGAGATCATTACTCTGAGTAAAAGCAATATAAGAAAATTGTATACCTTTGAAGAAAAACTTCGCAGAAAAATGTATTATCTTGACGATAAAAATCAGATTAGAAGATACCAATACAGCAACAAAATAGGAAACTGGTATAAGTTATTGTTACTACAATTAAAATAAAGAGATTGAATTTTACTAAGCGCATGATGAGAGCAAGTAATGATTACTCACCATAAACAATATTGCAAACATTGAGCTATTTCGATCAAGGCAGAATAATCCTCACATAAAGATTATTAATTATTCAATAATAGGTTATGAATACACCCCGATCTAAAAGTGCTATTGTGCACCTTACATCTCAACTAAAACAATTCTAAACTGTTTATAAATCTCGTTATTTCTGTGAATTTGATTTTACTTATTTAATTTGGGACCAAGATCCCGCTTCCAAGGTAGTCAAGTCTACGTCTTGCCACCGCTGAGCAGTTGTATAGAAAATGTACTAATGTTTCTGTCTGCTCATGACAGAGTTGACAGAAATCACTTTCTACCGCCACTATATTCTTCATGTGGTAATTGAATTCACAGTGTCCTGTAAGAAGGTCAGTGCAGAGTTTATCATTTCTGCTAAGGTTAAGGATACCATTAACTTTGATGTGTTCAAAATTAATCAATCTTTTTGACTGTTTCGGCTCTCCAGTGTTCAAATAGATTTCATGTCTCCCGTTCACATATTAAGTTATTTGTGGAACAGAAAGCTCTGGACTATTGGTAGAAGTATATGCACCCATGTTTGCTAGGAAGTCTGCTATTACATTGTCCTCATGTCCCGGTACCCACATAAGAGTAACACAGTTTCCCGATGCTATAGTACTGAGAAGTTGATGGACCTCTGCCTTAAAAAGGAAGCGGGTTTTCCCTTTTCACATAAAGGTACTATATCTCTATATACTGTAGATTGAAAAGAATAAGGGAATACAAAAAACATAAATTTGAGAAACCAAAATAAAAGGAAGAGTTGCTGATGCGGGTAAAGACCAAAGGTGGGTTTTAAATATGTTGTGGATGTATGTAGTATTATATTTGCAACCCAACCCAATTTTTTTTCTTAAATGTCATTTCAATTTTATTTTGTTGCATCAGAACCAGAATCTCAGTATTTGTTCAGTATTATTAATTCAGTATTGTCCTGTTTCTAGTCATATGGGACCCGCAATTCTGTTTTTGAACTGTCATTCCGTTGCTCATAGATGATCGATTAGTAAATATTTAGCATTTAATGATCTAGTCTATACCTATTGTCAATTGTTTTGACAAGAATACGATTTTCGATTTAAAATATATAAGTAAAGAATATTTTTTGGAGGTTGATTTGTTCTTGAGAAGAATGAGTATCAATTCAGGGTATGTTTCCAGAAAGTATGTGTAGACTCTAGAGTAGTGAACGTAAGAGCCTAGATATTTGATCCAATGATCGTTTTTATTGAATCGAAATTCTTAAAGCCTTCTTAGAGACCTCAAAAATATATTTTTTATTGGAAATATAAATATTTTTATGATCTCTTTCTTTTATCGAGTTATTGTAAAATATACTGATGCAAACATTTTTCTCGATAGTTATACAAATCATAAACAAATCTTTCTTTTCAAATTGTCCATTCTTTAAAATATTATCAGTTCTTGTATTATTTGTTTTCGTTGAAACTAAATATTAATATCGTTTAAATTAATAGAGAGTGAGGAAGAGTGGGACTAAAAGAGAGAGAGAGAAAAAGAGAAATAAACATTTTCTGCTATTGAATTTTATTTTTGAATTCTTAATAATTAACAAAATACAATTAAAGAGAGAATCTATAAATTTCAAAGTAATGGGTGATAAAAAACAAATTTTTTATGTTTAATCTCTGTATTGACATATAACATACATCAAAAAGAAAGCTACAAGATACACAGAAATTGTTATATACTATATGACATACTTAGCAGGTTGTAATTATAGATACAGAATTCTAACCCATTAACATGTGCTCTACAATCCCTGTGAGAAGCACTTTGCCCGTGTATGATGTACGCAAGTACGACGCTCACATATTAAGTTATTTGTGGAACAGAAAGCTCTGGACTATTGGTAGAAGTATATGCACCCATGTTTGCTAGGAAGTCTGCTATTACATTGTCCTCATGTCCCGGTACCCACATAAGAGTAACACAGTTTCCCGATGCTATAGTACTGAGAAGTTGATGGACCTCTGCCTTAAAAAGGAAGCGGGTTTTCCCTTTTCACATAAAGGTACTATATCTCTATATACTGTAGATTGAAAAGAATAAGGGAATACAAAAAACATAAATTTGAGAAACCAAAATAAAAGGAAGAGTTGCTGATGCGGGTAAAGACCAAAGGTGGGTTTTAAATATGTTGTGGATGTATGTAGTATTATATTTGCAACCCAACCCAATTTTTTTTCTTAAATGTCATTTCAATTTTATTTTGTTGCATCAGAACCAGAATCTCAGTATTTGTTCAGTATTATTAATTCAGTATTGTCCTGTTTCTAGTCATATGGGACCCGCAATTCTGTTTTTGAACTGTCATTCCGTTGCTCATAGATGATCGATTAGTAAATATTTAGCATTTAATGATCTAGTCTATACCTATTGTCAATTGTTTTGACAAGAATACGATTTTCGATTTAAAATATATAAGTAAAGAATATTTTTTGGAGGTTGATTTGTTCTTGAGAAGAATGAGTATCAATTCAGGGTATGTTTCCAGAAAGTATGTGTAGACTCTAGAGTAGTGAACGTAAGAGCCTAGATATTTGATCCAATGATCGTTTTTATTGAATCGAAATTCTTAAAGCCTTCTTAGAGACCTCAAAAATATATTTTTTATTGGAAATATAAATATTTTTATGATCTCTTTCTTTTATCGAGTTATTGTAAAATATACTGATGCAAACATTTTTCTCGATAGTTATACAAATCATAAACAAATCTTTCTTTTCAAATTGTCCATTCTTTAAAATATTATCAGTTCTTGTATTATTTGTTTTCGTTGAAACTAAATATTAATATCGTTTAAATTAATAGAGAGTGAGGAAGAGTGGGACTAAAAGAGAGAGAGAGAAAAAGAGAAATAAACATTTTCTGCTATTGAATTTTATTTTTGAATTCTTAATAATTAACAAAATACAATTAAAGAGAGAATCTATAAATTTCAAAGTAATGGGTGATAAAAAACAAATTTTTTATGTTTAATCTCTGTATTGACATATAACATACATCAAAAAGAAAGCTACAAGATACACAGAAATTGTTATATACTATATGACATACTTAGCAGGTTGTAATTATAGATACAGAATTCTAACCCATTAACATGTGCTCTACAATCCCTGTGAGAAGCACTTTGCCCGTGTATGATGTACGCAAGTACGACGCTCATAGTGCCATGTAAAATGAAACGGGCATTGAAAAATCATAAGAAAACCATTCGAACAGAAATAATAATATTCACAATTCCGTGGATGTGGTATAAAATCATAAACTCCTTGGCGACATTGTAGACGTACGGGACGAATTAACTACCAATGATAAGAAATATTAATTCAAAAAATAAATATTAAGTACTACTAAAATTTACCGGACAGTTAACATTCTCGCTGCGTTCACATTTTCCAGTATCCGGATTGAAATACATATGCCGTTGGCACATCATAGGTATAGCGATGCCATTATAACAAGTATAATATGTAGCACATGAATCTGGATTAGCTATATTAAACATATTGCTAAGACCATACAACAAAGGACATTGCGGTATTTCCTTTGGAGTATTCTCAATAGTGTTGCCAAGAGAATTTCCACTCTGTCCAATAAGTCCTGCACTATTTGATAAGAATTGTGCAAAATTTGAAGAAATTATATTTGGTACATTGTTCGAATTTACAGCCAAACTAGATATTATAACATTCGGAGCTTGATGATTAAACCCATTATTAAGTAAACTATTACTCGTTGTTGAAAGTATGCCACCAGAACTCTGTTTATTGCTATTTGTGAATACAGTATTAACATTTTCATTATTAACAGAAGAAAGTTCATTATTACTATTGATCTCATTCACATTATTATTTACTAATATTTGTATTTCAGGTACATCGGTTACAAAATTGATATTAAATAATCCATTATCTATACTAGTACCACTTATGACTACACCTTCATTAGGTTCAATATCCTCAATATCCGTTTCAATAGCACACACCACTGCATCAGGATCATCGCAATTTCCTTCTTTCTCATTAAAATAATTATCATCGAGACATTCACCCTCAAATGAATCATCTCCATCACAAAATATATATCTTGAGCAATCCGTTTGACTTGCGACAAATGTATTGAATGTCTCTGGATCCTCGCATTCCAAAAAGATATTGGCCTCTATGAAAATGCTTTTCAAAACTAACAAAACTGTAGTAAATTGCAAAAATTTATTAAACATTTTTTTTTATTTTTTCATAGCAAACGGACGATAGTTATTTAAACGACAAATTCAAAAAATTGACTGAATTTCATACCTCAGAATTCATCTTTACAATCACGATTTTATTTTTTAGCAATTTTACACATATTTTTATCAAAAATTATCAGTTCTTGTGAATTTTTATCGATTGTCTTTAGTTCTATTCTTTGTTTTTAATAATAGCTCTTAAATTTAGTGTACAAAAATATTTACTAATATTTTTTTAACAATATCTCTATAAGATTTTGATTTGAAATTAAAAACAGATGGGCGATATGCTGATAGTATATTTTTAGATGTAAGAAAATTGGGTCTAAACGCTCAAGGCAATCAATATCTCTTTGACTGTGTTTGTAGTTTGCGTAAGTTCACTATTAAATATTGAATCCATCTTAAAATTTAATAAGAATGTTTAACGAGGTATTTCCAAAATATTTTTACTTAGCTAAACTTTCTCAAGACACTCTTCTAAAACAACTAGAACACTAAAAAACTGAAATCAGACCTTGATGTACTGTTGGATTAAGATGATTTAAGTATAAAGATATTTAAGCGTAAATTTTAACTGAAACAGATTAACAACTTAAAGAGTATCCTTGAAATAAAAAAGTACATTATCCGCTGAATATATATTCTACTCTAGTATTAGCTTTGAAAACAACTTCAAAAGCAATATGTATATAAAAAATCTTGAAATAAATGAGAAGCTTTGAATGTGAAAAAATGAACTCTAGAAAAATGTATTTAAGCTGATGAAAATTAATTTACAACACATAAAAAGAACGTATATCTAATTTAGATTTAATTTAAAAATAAATTACTAATTTAGCCATTCAGATATAGGTCCATAGCATTTTGTTTAAAAATGATCTTTTATAAATCGGTAACTCTATAAATGATTGATCACTTTTTACATATAACTGCACATATTAAACTATTAAAAGTAGTGTGAGTTTAAAAATTTTTTATTAATTCTGGTTTATTGAAATCACCCAATGATTTAACATAACCTCAAAATACAATGACATTATATCGCATGATTATGGTTACCAATTCACATTGACCATGTAATCGTTAACATTTAATCATTATCATCATTTGGATTTACAGCTCACAGTGAGTTTTGGTTTGTATAACAATTTACCTTCAAGTGGATGGGGCCTCAGGGTGTCTCACCTTCTTTACATCATCTTAGTGGTTGTCCCTCTTCTTTTTTCCGTTATATGATTGTCCGTTTCTATATGTCTGATTGTCTGATTATATGTCTAAGATTCACTTCAATATTTTTGGATTTAACATATCCAAATATATATATTTCCTTCTGTACTTCTGTTTCACCAAAAATGTTTCATAAACCTTTCTTTTAAATCTCTATACCGATTATGTATTATCTTTTCTTAAAGTGAACGTTTCTAAATCATAGCATAGGGCTGTGTTAAAAGTTAATACATTCTCAATACTATGGAGTTATTAACAACAACTATTACTTTCGTAATACTATTTCTGATTTGTGAGTGCTGTCGTTACTACGTATATAAAAAGTAAGTTAAAAATTTATGGAACCACATTAGAAAAGATTAATCTGTGATTTACCCTGGATTAATGCCTTTGTATCTGTAACGTTACGCTATAGATTTTTGTTTTAAATATACCCTGTTTTAATGTTATTGTTGTGGCCCGCGAGAATTATGCAGTTCCTTTAGAGGGTGGTAAATGGCACTTGGTCGTCGAAATTAACGAATGTCTTCGGGATGTATTCCCGGTTGTTCTTAGTATCCACCTGTTTTACTGATTACTTTACTTTAGATTAGTTTCATGATTGAGTGTTTACTAAAGAATTTCAATGTTATGCAGATTCATTACTCACGCAGCGCTATCGGCATCACTGTAACCAATTTATATTTTTTTTTTTTTTAAAGAAGTTTTTAGAACATTAGTGAACTACAACAACAAAAATTCATTCTTATATTATTTTAATTAATTGTGTTTTTTGCTGACCATACAGCTTTTTCGAGTATTTCCAAATACCCATCATCAGTGGTCTTGGAAATAATTCTAGTATTTAATTATTTGTAAATAATTTTTTGAGACTGCAAATACCAGGAATCTTGCTCGAGTCCTGCCAAATTTGAAGCTCAGAGTCAGCGTACCTTAACCAACTGACCCAAAGCCGTACTTTACTTTTATGTTCGCACATTTTTCTGGAGTTTTGTTCAATTACTGTCAAAATTTTATTTACAAATTCACTTGCTGTGTTTATATTACAACGGAATCATAAACTAGCTGTAGAATATTTGAATTAATTAATTATATTTTTATTTTTAATTGTTAAATTTCAATACTATTCCTTTTTTTTGTTTTTTAAGAATTTTGTAGAATTTCCAATATCACTTTCTAAATAATTTTTTGAAATTATCAAAAAAATGTTTTTTTTAAAAACTGCAGCTTTGATACTTGTCAAAGCTTTCTCATCCTTTTGGTAGGGACTTATGGATCACATTATCACTATACTCCCTCCATTAAAATTCAATTTTAAACATAACATTATGAGTGTAGTAAAATATTTTTCAATTTTTTAGTTCATTTCATTTATTTCACTTACAGGCTATTTTTAAATATTAAATATATTTATTCGAATATATTTTTGATAATATTTACTTTACATTAATTTCATTCAGTATTTGTATAAATATTAAATCAGATTTTATTACCAATCATAAAAACTTAATTTAATTTCATAAAATAATTTATTGTTGTTCTGGAAAATAATGTTGTTAAGTACAACAACAAATTAATTAATACTTTATAATAAATTTAATGTAATTTGTTTTTATTTTCTTTGTTTGTGTGTTTACATGATGACATTTAATTATTAAACTTATTATGCAAAATTATGATAAATAATATAAACAATATTTTAATACAAAAGCTGACCATTGATGAAAACATGAACGTTAAAATAAAAAAAAAGTATTTAAAAATAATTAAAATTAAAAACAATCAGCAGATTTTAATGACTTGAACGAGAGGCAGTCACACAAAATCCAGCTCCAATACCACGACTCACTTCCAATAGAATAAATGCGCACTCCTCACATCGAAATTATAAAACTTCAACAGCATATAATCCTGCCATTTGGTTGGTAATAATCTGTAAAAAAAATTTCAATATTAAAAACTATAATATAATAATATATATAAAAGCACTGTTAGTTTATAAAAATGGAAACAGATATTGAATAATTAAAATTTAACACTTTTACAGTTTTGTGTCTTTTATTGTGGTTGCATAGAACAAGCACGGCATGTAACAATTTAATTTAATTTTTTAAAAAATTGTAAAAATAAAATATTTATATTTTATATTTTTTTATTAAAATATATACACATACATATATAACATATACAACTTCCACACTCACCTCAGTATCCAGACGGATAGAGCGAATATTTTTGGCACGTACACCATTCGATGGTTCAGCATGACACCTTTAACGATTTTTTCCGCTACATATACTGTGGGCAAACCAGGATAGCTGCTGGATATGCTGTACAAGTAGTTGGTGGAAATGTTTGCATGTGGTACGAGAGTATGGCACGTATTTTTCATGGGTCAATTGTTGCGGATCAGTCGTTGATTGTCATGTAATGAATATTAAAGGAACAAAGAAAAAATTTAATTTTTTTTACAATTTAAAATAATTAACAAATCAATTAAATGGATTTTTTTTTTGTTTTTTTGATTATTTTAACTTTTGTTACAATTTTTACTTTGTGCTGCATATATTTTTTATTATGGAAACGTGATAACATTCTAAATGAATGCGAAATAACATTATTGCAATTGGGACCTGCAAGTGGCACACGTCTCATATGCACAATATAAAAATTAATAACACATATTTTTATTATTAAAATATTTTATTATTTTAAATTCACTTACCCAGCATCGTTTAATAAGTGCAAATCGCCACTGGTTTTCATCAGATACGTATTTGCGGTTGTTGTGCGTACATAATCAGAATCTGAAAGTCGAAGTTCTGCACGCAAAGACTCCATGAAACCCATAATGCCATACTTTGTTGCGCTGTAAATGCCAGCTCCAGGTAAGGGTACTAGACCTAATTAAAAAGGAGACAAAAAAAAAAAGAATTAAACAAATTACATCAAAACTTAATTGATTGAAATAATAAAACTGTATAATATAATTTAAACTTATTTAAGCAGATACTAACATTGTTTTATTTGAAGCACTTATGCAAGGTGTACGTTCCAGCCCATTTTAGAAAACGACTGGCTCACATATGTATACTCCAAGAATTGAGCTTTTTGTTACGTTAATGCACAAGCGCGGATAAAAACACATTGCCAATTTCTTTCACAAGTTATCAAATTTTTATCTACACTATTCTACACTATAAACAAATTCAAATGAGCTTCAAATAAAACACGGCTATTATTTAAGCACTGCAATCGGCCACTCTGTGCTGAGGTCAGTTATCTTTAAAACTAAAGTAAATGGACTGGTTGACAACTCTAATAGTCAATAAAAAGAAGTGACTATTTATTATATAATAACAACTGGCTAAGATAATAATAGAATAAGACATTAGCCTATTAGCTAAGACAACGGCTAATACCTACCATCGAATACATATACGCGAACAAACTGAATAAATAATTACAAGGTATCGAAAACATAAACATATCAAATTATGTTTGTGTTGAAAAAATATGAAAAATATGAAAATATGAATATGCGCCGAAAAAACATGCCTGAAAACCGATGGATCCAAATGTACTGCCGTCTTTGAAGACAAATGAGTCAAATATCTTTAAAGATATTTTGCGTGCATATCTTGAAAATATAGTGGATGTATTCAATATCTTGCATAGTGTCCGCATTTAAATAAAAATTTGCAAACTTAATCTAGTTTACTAATTTTTTTAATTCATACCTTTAAAGTTATTGTGCTTTCATATCTCGAAAAGACTAATTTGCTATTTCATTTTTATTTAAATCATTTTTATTTAAATCATTTTTATTTAATTTTCATTTTATTTTCATTTTATTTTTATTTTATTTTTATTTTATTTTTATTTTTATTTTATTTTTATTTTTATTTTATTTTTATTTTATTTTTATTTTATTTTTATTTTATTTTTATTTTATATTTATTTTTATTTTTATTTTTATTTTATTTTTATTTTATTATTTTATTTTATTTTTATTTTATTTTTATTTTATTTTATTTATTTTTATTTTATTTTATTTTATTTTATTTATTTTATTTTTTATTTTATTTTATTTTTATTATTTTATTTATTATTTTATTTTATTTTTTTTTTATTTTTATTTATTTTTTATTATTATTTTTATTTTATTTTATTTTTATTTTATTTTTATTTTATTTTATTTTTATTTTATTTTTATTTTATTTTTATTTTATTTTTATTTTTATTTTTATTTTTATTTTATTTTTATTTCTCTTTACCAAGTATACTCAATGTATGCCGTTGTTTGTCTCATGATATCGCCGAGTTCCCAAACAGTTTTGAAATTAATGTCTTCAGAACAATTGAAGGAACTGGAGAAAGAGCAATAGAAAGAACAATTTCTCTAAACTGCAAAATGTTATAAAAACCATTTGTAGCAATTTTAGTGTGTTGTAACCAGACACATTTAAACGAGATTACGGTTTTGAGAGACGAAGTTATAAAACAATCCAAATATCAACAAAACATACTATCTAAGCATAGTATGCTATCAATAGCATACTATCTAAGTTAGCTACGTAATTTGCCTAGTCAAGATAAAATTAGACCTAAAAAAGCTAACAAATTAATCAATAACTTACAAATAAAATAGAATAGAATTATAGTTACAAAGCTTAACTAACTAAAATGCATACAAATAGTCTTACCAGATAATGCTGCAACTGCAACAACATGACCTGATTTTCTGGCCACCATCTTTGGTAGGAATTCTTTTGTAGTCTACAATATAAAGAATGAAATCGTATGTAAATCGTTTAATAAATCTTTTTAACATACTAAACAAAAAAAAAATCGTATGCAATAAACTGCACTTACCATAATATATGAACCCAAATTTACAGTGATAATGCGTTCGATTTCATCGCTTTTCAATTGTGGTGTAGATGTCATTGGCATTAATGATGCATTGTTGACTAAAATTTCCACTGGACCCAATTCTTTTTCAACCTTGACAGCCATTAATTGCAATTCCCTAGGAGAAGACACATCGGTCTAGTGTTGAAAATAAAAATTTACACATAAGCGAAAAACATAAGAACTGTGGTGGCAACACCAGCCACTATATCAGCAGCAGCGTTACAAGCAACCAAAATTATAAGTGCAAAGGTAGGATGAATGAGTAGGACAGAATGAGATTAATGCAAGTAAATTGAAGTGTTAACAAAAGAGTCAGAGTATGTGGCGTGCAAATTTGTGTTAAGTAAGTGGGTGTGAAGTGGCAACTCCAAATGTAGTGTAACAGCATTTGTGGTATGACTTGCATTACTACAATGGATTACTTTAAGCTCGTGGAACATGTTAAGCATGCTTGCAACTGCGGATACGTGTATGTGCATATGCGCATATATGAATGTGTGTATATATGTTATATGTAGTACTTACTTTATACGCTTTAGCCACGCAACGTGGCATGGTTTTGGTAATGAGGTCAACAGTTTCATAGCAACCTTTCGAATGCACATCGACAATCGCCAACTTACAGCCTCTTTTGGCCAATTCAATGGCAATTTCCCGACCAAGGCCACTACCAGCGCCAGTAACCTGTAAAACAAGAATAACAGCATTAAATATGAAGCCAAATTTAAGCCACAAAAAGAAAAAAAAAATTCGTTAAAAGTCATTTGTATATTTTAAAAATCTTGCAATGATAAAGAATCTATGTAATTTAATTTGCCAAAGAATGAAAAGTTGAAATAATTGCTCAGCTATTTTTATTGCTATTATTGTTGGTTTTGTATAAGTAGATCAAAGAGCAGAGAACCAACCATTGTGTAATTAATTACATTAAATTTGATAACAATGCATGACTTTACAGACAGACGAAACAAAAAACCACTGCAAACAATTTAACGCATATTTAAGCTCAATTAATTTTTCGAACTGTGCCAAATTGCGCCAAATTGTTTATTGTATTTACTATATATATATATATAGGTAAGTATTCCACTCGCAACTACAGTGGGTAACCGTTATAAATGTCTAATGGTATTCGGACAAAATTTGACTTTCCATTGAAGTGGGCATACCAAACCCAATTAAATACTAAACGCTACTAGTATGGAGTTTTTAATGATGTCCAATGACATCACAGCCGTGGGCATTGATTTGTCAAATATAGTGAATACCACAACCAAAAAAAAAACATAATAATAATGTGAATATAAAAAAAAACACCATACTGGATGGATGTATCTCAAATTGCGTTCACTGTAGCTACGCGCTTTTATGCAATAAATATAAACAAATTCAATTTGTTTACTTTGTTTTAGTATTTTTTGGCTTTCAATAATAATTAAGCTTATGTTGACCCCTGCACGCTAACCGAATTGACCGTAATTATTGTTTTATTGACATTTTAACTTAGCCGCTCACAGTTCCACGCCAAAAGTATCTACAAACTTTAATGCTGCGATGAAGTGCAATTCAAATAATTTTTTTTTTTTTTAATTTTGTATAGTTAGTCATTTCATTTATTCAATTGTGTTTTTCATTTAATATACAACAGAAATAAAAAAAAAAAATATTATCTTATTGCTGCTATTTGTTTCGCTGTAATTGTGTAATTTAATAAACAATATTTCAAGCGCAGTCATTTACATAAACTCCCTACCCTTCACTCTTTTCATCTTTACGCTTTCAGTGAATTTATTTTATTTAAGCATATTTATAGGCATATTGTTTACTTAATAAAATTTTTTTTTTATCGTTAAAAGATTTAAAAATGTAAATGGCGGAGAATCAAATTATTTTAAATGTAATTTAAATTTTATTGAGAAAATTATTACTGAAAAATCTGTTTGTATATTTTTTATTCTTATTTATTATTTATTTATTCTTTTTCATTTTTATTGTGTAATAATTCAATTGCATTTTATATTCATTGTAACTTTGACTATGAACTTACAACAATAATTGATTTAGTTGTCAGCCGGAATAATAAACATATTATTGCATTAATTATAAGAAGATTTAAGTATCAACTTTATCAATAATAATAAATGAAAACAGGTGGAAACATTAGATTTTGCAATATCAAATGTCATATCTAGTATTATATTACGCTTACGCATAGATTCTAAACTAACAGAAGCAACCTCAGCAGTTGCTGAGCTAAATTGCACAAATATTTAGTTTGAAACAGCACAATAGGCCTGTGGGTTTCCCTGGGATCGCTGGTATAACCTAACTTAACCTAGTTTGAGACAACAATCAGCACCTAAAACAGATACATAGACTTTTTGCTAAACATCATTATCGCAATAATCTTTCTCATTCCAAATGTAAATCATGAAGAAATGTCAAATATGCAACGTAATATGAAAACGACACTTATAGATAATATATCTAATTACATAATCCCAAATACTAATTTACAAACTGGTACTTCGCCACAAAGGTTTCCAATAGAGAAATGTTCTGGCAGTGGCGGCGCTATGCGATATCGGCGACCACCGACGGCCTCGCGCCCGCAGGTGCTCTTAATGAATATATTGAGAAATTTGGTTTCATATATAGCATTAATCATATTGGAAGTATATCCGAATGTTTATATAGTAACCAGAATAATGTTCACAGTTGCAGTCAGTACAGCGTCTGCGGAAAGAAGCTTCTCAAACTTAAAATTGATTAAGACCTACTTGAGAAGTATGATGATCCAAGAGAAACCATCTCTATTAGCAAGTCTATAAACTGAAGCGAAAATAGCAGCAAATTATGATATATGTTCTTTTTAAAAAAAATTAAGTGAGGCCAAAAGTAGGAAAATTTATTTATTTTAATTTGTGTTTATTTTAATTTAATTAGCAATAAAACTTTCATGCATTCTTCATCGTATTAGTGAATGTAACTTATTTACTTTAATACCTGGGTAATAAAAGGGGCCCCACAATTCGGATGTCGCCGACGTACAGAGTTGGTCTAACTCCGCCACTGTGTTCTTGCACTTAATCAACATTCTCGCTTTATAGCATCTATTATTTTATATCAAAATAATGTACAAATATTGAACTGAATGCTTAAGCAAGCTTCAAGAGTTCCAATAGATTTGGGTAAAAATATAACAAACATAAAGGAGTCACCTATAAGAAAATTATAGTTACAGTTTTTAGTAATTAGACATAAATGTTGTGAATAGTCCAAAATATACAATATATACTCAACTATGATCCAAAACAGTAACAGTCGTGCTGATACCATTATTTGTCAGAGTCCTGAACTAAAATCAAAGACCTTCGTAAATAACAGACAAACACCTTATTTACACGTAAATACCATCGAATACTGATTCAGCCCGACCATCGTCCGATTTTAAGCCGAACCGAGTTTACAACAAACCAGTTTTGAACAAAAATTTTTTTTAACCGAAAAGAATTTTCAACTAAGCAGATTTTGAACTGAACTGGTTTTAAACCTGCACCTCTGAATTTACGATGTTATTGAACGCACTATCAACTGAACTGATATTTAATCAAAATCTTTGAATTGTTAGTGTAATTGAACTGACCCTCGAACCCAACAACTATTGCTTTGTAAATTCTACTATGAATAATATATTAATTGGCATTTTTAATTAGTAGTCACAAATAATATGCGGTAATATTAACTAGTAATAACAACTTGTAATAGCAACTAGTAATAGCAACTAGTAATTTTAAGACGTAAGGCCTATTGGCCTAAGTGGATCCCCCTGGGATCGCCGGTATAACCTAAATACTAACTAGTAATATTAACTGGTAATTTTAACTTGTTATATTAACTATTAATATTAACTAGCAATATTAACTAGTGCTATTAACTAATAGCATAATAGCTAGTAATATTAACTTAACTAGTTATGATTAATAATAATAACTAGTAATATAAACCAGTAATATTAATTAATTTTAACTATGAATATTAACTATAAATATTGACTTGCAACAATTAATTGTAAAAAATACATAATTAACAATTACGTAAAATTAACTATTGATATTAACTATCAGTAATAACTATATAATATTAACTATTTATTATAAAAACCATACATAAAATATACGCTATATATAATATATGTCAATTCTGTAAAATATGTAATAAAATTATATACAAATATTTAAAAAATAATTCTAAATTTTTTGAAAAGAAAATTTATTTGTTTATTGTATGTAAATGAAATATAAAACTTTACATCATTAAAATGCTAATTAAAAATTTAAATATAGTCACTAAAAATTACTCAAATGAAGTATTTGAGTCACCCAAATACTTTAAAAGAAATCGAGAGCTGTTTTTCGACGTCACTTCTCGACTTATTCATTTTAGCATTAAATATTAAATATCATGAATAATAAATACATTTAAAAAAAATTATAGCTTTGAGTTTTTACAAAAAATTGCAAAACAAAAAAAACAGTAATTTAATTTAAACACAGCACGTTCTAAAAAAACAAAACTAAAAAAATCTAAAAATCACATACCAAAACATGATCTTTGAGACAAATATATAAGATATATTTATAAAAAAATTCTCAATATTGTATGTACTAAAATATGAAAATATCTAAAAGTTTTATTTATCTAGATACGTAAAAATGAAGTCATTTGTGAGGTTTTATTAAAAGATAATAAAAAAACATTCTTTTGTATCTTCGCTGCTGCGAATGTCAATAGATAAATATTATTTTAATCTGTTAATTATGCTAATGAGGCTGGTACGGCACATTAATTATAAATTACAAAAATAAAAAGAAACACACCACGATTGTATATTTATAAACAAATAAGAATTGCATTGTTATTGGATTTTTATGATAAATTCTTAAAATATTTTAAATACCTTTTCAGATAACTCACAATTCTTTTTTATACAAGTTGGAGACTGTATGTCTCCCTTTTAGATTAAAGCAATACTAGAAAAATGTTTATATAATTTAATTCAAATGTATAAGCATTTAATTTAAATTTATAAATTAAAAAAATAACTTATAATGATTAAAATGACAGTATAAACTCCTATAGAATGTATTTCTGCAGCCTAAATTAAAAGTTGGTTAACTGTTTTGTTGGAATCAAGTACTGTGTTATACATCAAAGTGAGGTTATCAGAAAAATAAATATGGTGAACTTTATCTTATGCGAAGTAAGAAACTAATTCATCAAAAGAAAAGCAGCATTACGGACTCTATTCAAGACTAATGCTAATGGAGAAGTTTTATGGAACCTTTTCAAGATCAGTGTTCATATCACACAATTGAGAAGTTTCATGAACTCTCTTCAATACTAGTTCTAATATGACAAAACAATAAATTCTACACAACTTTTCCATTACGGACAGTCTTCCAGAACAATGCTTATATGACAAATACCATGAATTATAGAACATTAATTATAGATATGATGCTCAAACAGTTTAAGTTCGAACATTTGGATCTCACATATCAAATGTTCAAAAATTTTCGAGCTGATTAAGGATGTTCGATTCACTGAAACAACAGATTTGCTTCATATTATTTATGAAACGTAAATCAATCAACGTTCAATCTCAGTCACTTACTATAAAGATATATATTTACTAAAGACATATATAATAACTATAATGATAGTCACAGCTATTCTCGCAAAGATCATTTATATTTTAACCAAAATTAAAACTTATATTTTAAGTACTTCTGCAATATTGATAGTATTTAAGTAAAGGACCAATGAATATAATTGTCAATAGATGTACTCGCTACTTTAACTACACTTTACACTGTATTCCATTTATACAATATTTTTGCAATAAATACAGTTTTTACACCTGCATCTGATTACTAAAACACTTAATGTAGATATTTATTAAATAAAAATTGTTCCATTTGATACGTGAGCAATCATTTAAATGACATTAAAACAACAGTATTATATTTTGTTTTATACTCGTATAATTATAAAATTAACAAATAAATTAACTCACAAAAAAAATTGTAATTAAAAAAGTTACAAAGTTAAAATCACAAATACATCATCTGACCTTGAAGGTGTTCAGAAGATACATATTGTTTAGTATTCAAACTAACTACTAGATATTGAAGAAATTCAAAATATACGTGCTTTTTATGTTAACTAATATATATACATATATATATGCTTGCATATATGTACATCCAATAGTTATATACCTATATATATCTATAAATATACATACGAAACAAAAAGAATTGAAGATGAAATTGATAAAATTACAAAATTAATTATAAGAGTAAACAAATTTCCGGCAAAAAATTTTTGGCGCAAATTAAAAAAATAAACACAATATGTATAGATATAAAATATTTGTTCACTAAAAACGATTGAACTGGAAACGAAATATTAGAAAAAATATTTTTAAATATTTTGAAAAAAAATATAAAAAATTATTTAAAATTTTTACGTCGCGACCACACCCAATTCATAGCTGACAAACAGGCAAGCCACATTAAGAATGCAATTCTCATAATTGTTTAAAAAAAAAATTTTTTTTTTTTAATATTTCCATAAAGAAAATTAAATGGAAATTTCACTCACTTGCATGTCACATAGATTACCTTTTGAAGTTACAGAAAAATTCACATGAATGAAAGTCATAACCCAGGCAATAACCTGCATTGGATAGATAAGGCATGAGATAGTTACATACAATGTTTGCTAGATAGCAGCGTCACATAATTAGCCGAGTTAACGGCAAAATGCTAAGTAAATACATTCTGCTTAAGACACAAAAATATGCTAAGCCATGCAAAAATTTTATTTATTTAAGAAAAAAAAAAATCTTATCTTTGAGTGAAGAATTTTTTACTATAAACAAATACACGCAAAACGATATAAACAATCGACAAAGTCTATAAAAACAAAGGCCACGCATAAACAAATATTTTTTCACCGTCAACTTGACTTGTAGAGATATAAAATACATAAGATAGATAGATATATTATCTGAAAGCAAAATTTAAATAAACACAATAAATTCTAAATCATCTTTCTTGATGTGTTAAAAGAAAATATTTGTGATTAGGTCAACAAGCATACCCCTATCTCTACTATAATTATAAAATATTTATATATGATAAATATACATACATATATTAATATATGCATTAATTGAAATTGATTGTATAATGTCGTATAAAAACTAAACAAACTACTTACAGTTAAATTTAAAATACGCACTGTTTATATATTTAACAAACATATATACATATATATATGCTTATTTATAAGCAAAAAAAATATACTACTAACATAAATATCTAGTACCCTATAATCAAAACTGATATTATCTGAAGCACAATACAAGGAATTGACTACAATGTAAAAAGGATCATGTTTATATATATATGTATATATCAGTTTTGATTATTGAGTGCCAGATATTTGTTTTTTTTTTTTGGCAGTATCTTTTTTCTTTTTATAAAGATATATATTATACATATATTTGTTAAATATATAAATATATATATAAAATATGAAATATATGGCCTGAGTATTCGCGTGAATACGCTTATAATACAATCTAACTTAACCTACATAGACCAGTGAATATAAATACAACTTTAATGAACAAATTTATTATATTTAAAATATTAAGAAATCATTTTAATATTTTACAATACTAAGATTTTGTAGTTATCTGTTAATCACAGTCCTCAGGTAATAGAAATAGAATTTTCCTAAAATATTAACATAAACAGCTTTAAGTACGTTTGACTACATTGAATATTTACTCTTTCACTATTCTTTATAGGAATATATATAGAGCAGTGATTTACGATATATGGGACTTTAAAATTGTAAAAATTGGCTTAAAAACAAGAACAAATATTACTTCAAGAACCACAGATAAAGAGAAAACGATATAGTGAGGGAGTGAAAAAAAGACAGATAGAGATACATAAAGAGAGAGAAAGATATACAGATAGAGAGAGAAAACAAGATATATAAATAGAGAGAAATAAAAAGATATACAGATAGAGAAAGAGAGAAAAAGAGAAAGAGAAGGGAAGTTATACAGATAGAGAAAGGAATGTATACAGATAGAAAGAGATTATATACAGATAGAAAGTGATATATACAGATAGAGAGAGATATATACAGATAGAGAGAGGAAGATAAATAGAGAGATACATATAGAGAAAGATATATAGATAGAAAAAGAAAAATATACACACAGAAAAAGAAATATATACATATAAAAAGGGAGATACACATAGTGAGAGACATATAGATAGAATGAGAAAGATATACAGATAGGAAGAGATATAGATAGAGAGAAAGAAGAGGTATAGATAGAGAGAGAAGAGGTATAGATAGAGACAGAACAGATATAGATAAAAAAAGAAGAGATGTAGATAGACGAAAAAGAGATATGGGTAGAGAAAGAGAAAAGAGATGAGTAGAGAAAGAGAGAAAAGAGTTGTGGATAGAGAGAGAATATATGTAGATAGAAAGAGAAGAGAAATGGATAGAGAATGAGAAGAGTTATGAAAGAGAGAGAGAGGGAAGAGATTCATAGAGAGAGAAGAGTTCCATAAAAAAGGGAGACAAGGGATTCATAGAGGGAGAGAAGAGATTCAAAAAGAGTGAGAGAAGAGATTCATAAATTGAGAAAGAAGTGATTCATAAAGAGAGAGAAGAGATTCATAAAGAGAGAGGAGAAGAGATTTATAAAGAGAGAGAAAGAGAAGAGATTCGTAAAGAGAAAGAAGAAATATATGAAGTTAGGGAGAGAAAGAGAGAAAAGAAATGTATGAAGTGAGGGATAGAAAGAAAGAGAGAGAGAGAGAGAGAGAGAGAAACAGAGATAGAAAGAGAGAGAGAAACAGAGATAGAAAGAGAGTGAGAAACAGAGATAGAAAGAGAGAGAGAAACAGAGATAGAAAGAGAGAGAGAAACAGAGATAGAAAGAGAGAGAGAAAGAGAGAGAGAAACAGAGATAGAAAGAGAGATAGAAACAAGGAGATAGAAAGAGAGATAGAAACAAGGAGATAGAAAGAGAGAGATATAAAGAAAAGACAGACAGAAAAGAAGAGAGATAAAAAGAAAGAGAGAGATATGGGTAGTAGACAGACAGAGATATAAAGAGAAGCAAATACAGTGAGAGCGGAAAAAAAGCTAGGAAAGGGCAGATAGCGAAAGACATAGAAAGAGTCAGAAGTAGTTTTAGTAGACAGACAGAGAGAAATAAAGTAAGAGACAATATCTACAATATCTTAATAATTACAAACTTATTTGTAAAGTAAACAAATAATATTGACTTTTAAACAACATGCCTATGAACATTTCACAATAAACAATAAAACATTGATATTATATATGGAAGAAATCCTAAGTTTTTTTTTATTTGTACTTCATAAAGCATACTTATTTGGATGCAACGCTTATGCTTACTTCCTTATACTTATTTCCTGTTTATCTTACGAAAAAAAAAGTACACATTTTTGCACAATTTTGTCAAGCAACTTTTTTAGTTGAAATTTTTTGCATTTATATAATTGCAGTTTTTCTTAATCCGAGATACTTAATATGAGTAGGACTTATATGTACTTATATCAATCGATGTGCATAGCCATGTAGTCTGCGTGACTCCACTTGACTTGTATATAATAAAACCAGTTGCTTAGTAGAAATAAAAAAAAACTTACTAAAGCCACTTTACCGCTCACATCCTTTTCTTTTTGTCCTAAACCAAATAAGAAATCAAGGAAATGTTTGAGGGAGACAGCGAATAAAATGACTGGCAACAACAATAAAAACAGAAATTGTTTCAAGCAAAATATGCGGCGTGCTGTTTCGTCATTGTTGCGGGGACGTCCTGGTGTAATCACCGTCGTAGTACTGCTATTGGGCAGCTGCCGTACGGGGGCTACAGGTGCATCATTCGGCACTTGCTGTTGTGTTGTTGTGCGCGTAATCGTGGTTGTGGTAGCCGTTTCAACCATTATTAAATTTATTTATTTTTTTTCAAATTAATTACTAAAGATTTCCAATAATTAAGTGTAATTAAGTATTTCAATAATTAAATAAACAGTTTTTTTTGTAGAGTAATATTAAGCACATAGCACACTTTTCCTCAAATAGCACAGAGAAAGAATATCAACAAAAACTGCAGTAATTATAAGATTTCACCTCTTTGAACTAAATTTTATATTTTTTCGATTAATCTTCTTTTCTTTCTATTTTCTCAGCACGTTTTCACACGCGTATACAATATGCGTTACTTCTCACCGCACGTCGCTAGGTTCGCCCACAATTCCGGCGTGTGTAACTGCGATTTTTATCTTACGAAAGTCACCAAAGACTGAACTAACAAAATCGTTTACCGATCATTTGAACCGCTCAAATGAGGCGTACCTCCAGCCAAAGCGCAGTCGTTTGTTTTGTGTGGAAGATTTGCCGAGCTTAACTCGTTTCACTGTGCTTTACTCAATAATTACTAGTGTTTCACACTCAAGTTTGCCGCTAACCATAAAAACAAGCACAGCAGCGGTCGATCTCCCTCCGCACTCGTGGGCAAGATGTTGTGTCTCTTATTTACTGCCGCATTTTCGAACTGTCGTTGCTGACTTAAGAAATTGGCAGCAACTTTTTGAGCTTAAAATGCATTTGGGCAACATTTGAGTGAAAACTCAAACAACTACTGCCGTCTGAGTGTAAACCCAAACAACTACTGCCGTTTGAGTATTTTTTCTAAGATACATCTTCTTCTGAGATTGTTTGAGTATTGTTAACAGATTTTTATCTAAGTTTTTATTGAAATTTAATATGAAAAAGTGTTGCGATAAGAAATCATAAACATTTGTGTAGGTTGTAAATGAAATTTAAAGATGCGTTGCGCTGAAAAACCAACCAAAAATAGTCTTACTAAGCAAATAAATAAATTATGTCATTAAATTTTTGGATGATTTAATTGAACTCTTGGAAGATTTTTTAAATCATGAAATTATTAGAAAAACTCAAAACTGAATTAAAACAATTAATTAACTAAATTAATTTTAACGTCCGTTTTAACCAAAGAAAGGTATTTTGAATAGTAGTAAATCACAAAAATAAAATTTTATTATTTTATTAATTTATTTATTTTATTGCCTACTGATGGTTCCAGAATGGAAGATGGCAGCGCAAGAGCAGGAATAATGGGGCCAAAATTCCGCAAAGCAATCGCAATGCGTAAAAATTGCTTCCATTTTTCAGGCAAAGATCCATGCCTTAGAGCTATGTGCGAGAGAATGCCTACTTTGGGGCACCATAGGTACCAAAATATGCATTCTTTCGGACAGCCAAGCAGCTCTAAAATCTTTAGCAAAATCCTCATTCCAATCAAAGTTGGTCTGGGCATGCTTTCAACTTCTCAATACTCTAGCATCGGAGAACTGTGTTACTCTTATGTGGATACCGGGACATGAAGGGCATGAGGACAATTTAATAGTAGACTTCTTAGCAAAGATGGGTGCATGTACTCCTACCATTAGTCCAGGGCGCTTCTGCGTGGTAACAAATAGTTTCACAAATAATATCAATAGGAGAAACAACATTTATTTGAACACTGCAGAGCCCAAACTGGCATGCAACAGTCAAAAAGATTCATTGATCCTGAACACATCAAAGTTGATGCTATCCTTGACCTTAGCAGAAACGACATTACAATCTACACTGAACTTATTACAAGACACTGTAGACTTAATTACCACATGAAGATTATAGGTGCGGTAGAAAGTGACTCCTGTCGACTCTGTCATGAGGAGAAGGAAACATTAGAATATATACTATGCAACTGCCCAGCGGCGGCAAAACGTAGACTCGACTACCTTGGAAGTGGGATCTTAGTCCCAAATCAAATAGGTAAAATTAAACCCATAGTAATTACAAGATTTATAAATAGTCTAGAATTGTCTTAGTTGGGCCTTTAGGCGCACAATAGATCTTTTAGGTCAATCAGTAGAGGAATCGAAGACTTAGATTTCGGTGACAATATCATCTTACTTCCGACAAAGCACATATTTAAAGCATTATAAATTATTAAAGTTCAGTCAAAGAACTGCTGATAACTCGAAAAACGATTATTTAAATTGCATTTTGTGCTGTCATAATTATTGCTGATATAAATAGTGCTATTATACAGCAGATATTTCACTAAGTGCGTTCATATAACCGTGTACGTAAACGCATAAAACCTTATGATGAGTACCCCTATCATATCTGATTAATATCAATAATCATAACATATAATAATTTTATTTATTTAATTAAATATAATTATTGAAACTATTGTTAGTGGTTCTTTCAGTTTCTTAGGCAAATTTTAGAAAACTACATATTATATAAAAATAGATGTTTAATAGAAAACAAAGACTAAATACGGCACATATGTATATAATTGGACAGTATATTAGGTAAACAAACACAGAAGCACTCAATTATAGAGAACACAATTTACAAAAAAATCTTAATTTATAGAAATAATATAATTATTTTAACACTAATATTTAATTTTAAAGAATTGGGACTGATTAAACACCCAACTCTGTTTACTTACCTTTCGTTTTTCTTCAATTTTACTTCATCGATAAGTTGATCCAACACTGCCACTACTACTAATTAATCTCGTTACAACTTAAAATAACGCGGCTCTATACAATCTGCTAATTATTTATTAAATTAATTATTTTGCACAATATTCACCAATGATCCATAAATGCTGAAAGAGCACCTGATTAATTTTATTTTACTTAATTTAATCGCTCTATTCTCACCTATTCTTCACCAATTGTGGAAGAAACAATATGTAGATAAGTCTGTTTTGTAACTCAGTATTTTCGTCATAAACTTCCGAAAGTAAATATTATTGTAACAGACTGATCCGAGAAACAAATGAAAACTTTTACTACTGACTTATATGCCATTGTGGCCATCTTATAAGACCATCAGACATATTTTTGTCATTATTGTTCGGTGAATAATTTTGTTGAGACATGTCTGATCCCTTATAATTACTTTCTGTCCTCCAATAATTACTATCACGATCTAAATCGGTCGACCAATCATTTCTATAGTTTTCTTGCGGCGAACAATAATTGGTTGAATCTTTTGGGCGTCTTCTTTCAAAAATATCAGAATATTTATTTACACATCCTTTGCCATCGCTCTTTAAATTCTGATCTGCAACATACTCATTTTCTAAACGTTGTTGATTTTGTCCTTGTATTGTCGAAAATCTTGTATTAGAATTCTTATTAGCATCTCTATTTCGATCTAACTTCAAAGGCCATTCATATTCAGAACCGTGTTCATCACGTTGTTGTGTCATAGAATACCTTTCGTTAGATTTTGCGCGATCATTTATAATACTTCTCTCACGATTTTGTAAGAACTCTTGTTGCTGTCGATATTGTTGGCGGCTCTTATTCTTA